TTATCAAGAGTCTGAGCGTAGTTTCAAATATATATGACTTAGTTTCGATGAGTCAAAATAAGAAGAAGGTCACACAAATCAAAAATTTGTGACAATAAATAACCGTCTTTGAAATGTGTATCTCCAATTAGTTTAAGTTTTTTGTCGATAATTTTTTGAAGTTTCAATGAACGCACTTTGCAAAAAAATTTTTGATAGAGCAAATTTATTCGCTGTTTTTTTTAAAATAAAACAGTTCCACAAATTTATGTTTTTTGTCACTGAGGTGAGTGTGATATAGATAAAGACGTTTTTTTTCCTTTTGTGCGAAAACTTTCTAGTTAAATTAAATTTTCTATCTTCATCATCACTTTAGTACCTTTGGTTTAAAAAAAAAATTTCATGATTAATATCTTTAGAACGTTCATCTTTATCTACTACGATCTACTAGTTACTTTTTTCCGTACTCTGTGGGCTGCTTAACTACAGTTTGAATCATAATCAACTCATGAAATGCTTTTGAAATCAACAACCACGTACAAGTTCCTTCATGTAAACTTTTTATAAGCTTACTATAGACCCTAAAACCCGTGAATCTGTGATAAAAGTCCGGTGATTTTATATGTTTAAATTTTTGTACGGTTGTATTCAAATGATCGGTAATTTTTTTTAAAATGATGTCCATAAACAGGATTCGTCAAAAAAAAAATTTTTTTTATCAGGTTGGATTTTTGAACTGGAAAATTAAATTAGATATTTATTTGTCAAAAGTTTATTAGATCTTGGGTTTTCATTTGATCAATTGAAGATGTTGGATGAGACGTGAAGCATAAATTTATAGTATTATATTTGTATAGTAATTTTTGTAGTATTATATTATTAGTATTATATTATATGGTGATTTTATAGTATTATATTTTTGTACGGTTTTATTCAAATAATGGATACCTTTTTTCTAATTGATATCCATAAACTGGAAAGTCACACACGTCAGAACATTGAGACAAAAATGTTGCCAACTTTGAAATGTGTGGCGCCTATTAGGGTTTTCGCCGTTAAATGCTAATGTCTTTCAATCAGTTTTGGAAGTTCTGAAGAATGCATTTTCATTTAATGTTTGAAGGTGCCTTAGTTATTACCAATATTGATTTGGTGTTTAATAAAATGTAAGTTTGACGGCCTTTCATTAAATTTTTGTTCCCGAGGGGATTTGATTTAGATAAGGATACATTTATTGTTTTTTTTTTGCATTTTGTTTTTGTAAAAACTTATATCTTTCAAGATTATAATTTATAGAATTTTCTTTTGTATGATAGAGCGATCTCCAATAATTTTCCTGGTAAATCTTTTGAAAATTGTTTTGTCTAAAACTCCTATATACACTGAAAATGTCCTTGTTACCGTTTTCTATGATTTCTATAACCTATGGTATATCTTGTTGCGTGACAATATTGAAAAAATTTGATATCAAGCCAAATAATTTTTTACTCCTTGGGTAAAAACAAAGACTCTGGTAGTTTGTTGGTATTTATAATTTACTTATCAAATTTTTTAATCTTTTTTTTAATTCACAATTTTTGTGTAGTCATTTTTTTGCTGTCGAATTGCAGTTAGCTGGGTTTTCGTCTAAGATCTATGAGCTCTATGTTTTGATCTCGGGGGAACTGAGTTTTGATCTCGCGAGGGCAAAGAATTCTATTTTATTTATCGTTCTTTTATCATCATATTTAGATTTGAATTTTGTCATTGACAATCTACCAATCTAGTGCGGTACTTAGGTTACGTATAAAAATTTTGATAAGGTTGTTTGATAAGGTTGATAAGGTTGTTTTCATTTTCTATGCTGCTCTTGTACTTATCTTCATCATCGGTGAACTTTTTTCGATAGTTTTTGGTTTATTTGATTCGAACATATAGGCAATAATGATAATAATTAAAGCAGAATAGTTTTTCAGTGATTATATATTCTGAAAAATTTATGCAATGTTTAGTTAAGGAATAAGTTTTTCTCATATTTTGAGTTGCTTTGTCAGCTTTTTTTTCTGTTACAAAAAATATTTAAAAACAATTTTTTAACACATTTGAATAAGAACTTCGTTTTTTTTTCTGAAAAAGAAAAATTTAGTGTGGGTTATTTTTGTTTTATTGTGTATCTATCACCCGGGTAGTTCGTTTGAAAATTGATTATGAATCCTGTCTTTTGGCACCGGCATTTTTTTAATAAAAAGTGTTTTATTTCGTCACGCTGTTTGTAATATTCCATACAGTTTTTTTGTTACTTTGTTTCCTACTACAAGTTTCAATTTTGAAAACAAAATAATAATACAAGATGTGCTGTCATTAATCTCTGATTAATGTGCCTGCCACAGCTTACGTTAATGTTTTTTTTTCACTGAGGTATAAAAGTAATTTTTTAAATAGCCTAAACGTTTAAAATAATAATCTTTTTAAGTACACTAAATAGTCCTTAGTGTTACCTAATGTGTTCAAGCAATATTGACTTTTTGATATTTTTATTAGACATGGGAATTTGTTGGCTCCTGAAACCTTAATCTGAAACCTCAAGGCCCATGAGTTGGCTTTAAATATAACTTTGTTAGAATGAAACTGTGATTTACAGCCTACGATTAGAATTTTGATCTTTGAAACTTGAAATCTGAAAACAAAAATTTGTCATGAAACCTTGTTTTAGGAGCCAAGTGTTGGTGTTCAAACCGAAACACTGGACGCTAGGCTTGTTAGCCGTTTTTAAATATCAATAAACAATTTTTTAACCCAAAAACTAAGATTTTAAACTAACACTAAATACTTCAAACCTCAGGTTTATAGACCGTTCATAGACCGACAAAAAACTATGAAACTTGACCTTCGATGTAAATATTGTTATCAACAATCTGAAGTTTGAAACATTGCGTAATACTAATTTTCTAATCCCTGAAAACCGCACTCAAAAACTTGACATTAATTTTTTGACTAACACTTCATGTATTAGAAAACCGCAAAAATGAGATGCTCACAATAATTCACAACCTCGCTTATAAAAATTGTGTCGCTTTTTCCTTCTGTATTCTTTTGTCTTGTTTTCTCATAAAGCAGAGAAGTAAATCGATTGTCCAGCCCATAGGGTGTGGAAGAGGCTCTTGTGGGTGTGAAAAAAGGGGTGGATGTCAAACGTTAAGGAGAGGGGGTGAGGTACAAGGGGATGAATAAAATGGGTTATAGCAGATAATAATGGATTATAATTAGTTTTTTAAGATCGAAAAGAATCGACTAAAACCCCCCAAAAACCAATTCTCACAGTAAACTGGGTCTTGAAAATCGAGTATTTTGCTTAGCAATTTTGCAGATATAAATCATAATAATCTATTACTTTCCATGAAACTCTAGTTCAGATGGTTTTCAGCTTTGTGACTACCCGGGTCGAGCTCCATAGACCAAAACTGCTAATCATACAATTCAATAAACTAAGTCTGTGAAAAAATACTAGTCATACATTTTTAATACATTTGAATAGTGTAATTGAATTTTCAAATAATTTTTTTCTTGTTTTGGCATAAAAATCGGTGTATCCTAATAGCAGATAATAACCGCCCATAACCGCCCATATCATAAATTCTAAATTTTTTTGACAAAGAAATTCTGTCAAAAAATGCTTACCATACAATTTTAATTTATGAAAAATCACTAATAATAGACCTTTCATGCAATTTCCTGTACTTATGAAATTGCATGAAAAGTGTATGAGTAGCATTTTTCCATATATGAAAATTGTATGATTAGCATTTTTGGTCAACCCGGGCATTTTTTTTAGGATTCCTAATTTTTTTTGTGTAATTTTTACTGAGAAATATCAAATCGGCGCCAACTTTTTGAAGCCACCTAACAAAAAAGTTACGAGACTTTTCATTTTTCAGCGCAAAAACCTGAGTGTTTCGACCTACTTGGTACTGAATAGATGTTGGCAGAGAAAAGGTTTACAAGCCAAAAATTTTGGTCTTCAAGTATCAAGTTTCAAATTTTGATCAATAGTAAATTAATACGCCCCAGTATCTTGCTTCAAGTCGTTGTGGGTGTGAACTTCGAGAACTTCAACATATCAAAAAAAATTGCTTTGCAAAATTTTATTATTTGATCGCCAAAAATAAATTGATAAGAAAAATCGCCCATATAATAAATGATTCACACTTCTTCGTAAATCGGATTAATAAAACTTGAATCCCACAAAACGCAGAAAATCGAACAACGCATCGAAACAAAAAAAGTATATTAGATCATATTTGAGTTTCCTGATACATTAAGTATTTTGTTGCCGGCCATGTATCGATTTTTGTATCAATGAGCAGGCGTACAAAACACAAAATAGTTCAATTGGTCAAACTCTTCAAGTTGACTATTTAAATTTTGTGTTTAAGGACGCTCTGATAGTAACAGTAATCGGAATCTTTTCTATTTCACAGCCCAAAACTGAGTTCTAGTTTTTGTATAGAGCTCTAGTTTTTGTATAGAATCCTTCCCTCTGTTGGCAACCTGTTAACAAGTTCGCACAAGTGCAGCGTTATTATGCTATTTGTTTGTCTTTCATTTGACTAAAAAACAATTCATTTGACTATTTTGAGCTAAAAGTTTTATTACTCAGAATTCAACTTGAATAGTTTTGAAAGTTATGAGGCTGATCTTTTATTATAGGTCCAATGAATGATGGACTTTTTGGGGTTTCCCCAAATTTTTATCACACTAAAAAGGGTAACGAATCCCAAAGAGATGTGCATCTTAGCTTCACATGCCTATTTTTTGTATTTTCAGTAAACAATCTTTTCGTTTTTGTATCAAACTTGGTTGAGTCAGCACAACAAGCCATGAAAAAAAAGCCAGAAACGACGAAGAGCATAACAAAAGCGCCAAAATATCTACTTCCTATCCAAATATGGTTGTTGGTTTCATAATTAGACAATTTTTGTATATCTGAGAAATGAAATGCATACTTTTTACATATACTGTCGCCAAGTTAGAGCTAGAAAAAGCACATTAATGAAAATCACTGTTTTTATATACCAATTTTTTTTCACTAAAACATTCATTTTAGAACCACAGTAGAGATCAGAAGCAACATATTTGACTAAAAGTCTCTTCGAATTTTAAGAAAAAATAGAAAGAGGTATGTTTTATTAACTTAATTTTTTTTTCAGTTTTCTTACTTGAAAACTTAGTCTACTTTTTACATTAAAAATGTGTCAAATTATGAGTATCTTCACGAGCTGAAAAAGCAACCTATAGTTTCAGAAAGAAAATGACACTCAACGATAACTTTGCAAAAAAAGTCAATTTTGTTAATAACAACCAAAACCGGCGATAGATTTTTAACTTAAAAAAATAATTTCAAGCAAATGTTTTCTTTATATTGCCATTTAGAACTGTATCAACATGCCGGGTGAAACTCCAATGACTACAGATGCGGCCGCAAGAGCCCAGAGCAGCGAGGCCACACAAAGCGGAACCGGCCAAGTGGAATCGGGAGGATTCGCCTCCAGGTTGATCAGCACAGATTTGGTGTTTTCATTTAATTTCGAAAAAGTTAACTTGCAAAAAATTTCTGACTGTTTTGTTTTAACTTTTTTTGGTAATCTTGCCATACTCTTTTTAGGGCGCAAGGAGCTGCTGACAAAAATGTGAATCAAGGAATAACTGAGCACCAGGGAGGCAAAAAGGGATAATCGCGAGGACAAATGGAGTGAACTTTAATCATTCAGTGGCTATGGGCTCATTATTCAATGTATATACCTAAATTCTAATGAAAATATCTAAATAATTAAGTAACTGAATCCTAATTTGTGAAAATTTGATTGGCTTATTAAATTTACTCACAAACAAATTTACAGCTGTATTTTGTAAGACAAAAACCTAGAAAAATGTTTTGAACGAAAATATGAAGGAGGTTTGGTCTCTGATATGATTTTCTTTACTGGACTTAGACATAAGACAGGGGCAAATGATTTAAAGTTTTGAAGTCGTGTCAAACGTCCTAAGCTTAGGAAGCGACCCGACTAAATTATTTTTGATCAGGAAAGAAAAACGAGAATATTTTTCAGTGGAACTGAAACAGCAACAATTACAATGGCTTTTCTCAAGCCCAGTTTTTCTAGGTCGCGCACAAAAACTAAGTCCTTTTTAATTTGACTTCTACCAAAGTTGCTGATGCAACTTGGAGAGAGATAGGCGTACCGCTTCATTTTGGTCCGATTTAAAATTTGAAACAATAAAGCAATATGTACGGTCTTCTGTATAGCCTTATTTTTAAATGGGGCGTAAATTGAAGGCTTTGCTTTGATTGAAAAAAAAGTGTAAATCGCTAATTTTTAAATGAAGAGTGAATAGAAACCGTTGCCCTTGTTAAAACAAAAAGTGTAACGATACGAAAAGGTTCCTTCCTGATTGAACCGAAAAAAGAAGTAAATGCTTTATAGAAAAAGATAGGTACAGGATATGTCTCAGATATTTGAGCTGACAAATAAACCAACCCAAAAATCAGAGCACCTCAGTTTTCAGAGCAATTAAGCTCAAAACATAACTACCGAAAGTTCCTTAATTTTTTTGGTTATTTTTTTGCTTTGAACAATCGTCAAAAAAGCTAAGCAGTCAGTAATGAAAATTGTTACAACAAGACAAAATGTAGGCTTGAGCAACAAGCTCCGCAATTGATTTTATTTACGATTAGTTGTTCAACAAACCTGGTAGAAAATTTTTCTAGTAGCAATTTTTTGAGGCACTTTCAAAATTACTTGGTAAAATTTTTGTTGTCGCCATCAAAAAAATGGTGTCTTTTCGGTTATACCACCCTAAACAAAACAAAGACTGCTCGTATTTCAGGGCAAAGCCTTGAATGTTCCAACTGTCCCTTAATTCATGTCGAATAGTTTTTGGGAAAAAAAAATCGAAAGCTATAATTTTTAGACAATATCAGTGTGAAATGATGAATCCTATGAAATTAATATGGCCGATCTAATTAGCTAGCCCAGTTCAATTTGGAACGATCTTGTTAAGCGGGATAATTCTGCGCCTATAAAAAATTTGCATCACGCTCTCAGCAATAGGAGCAAATTCTTCAAAGCGCGCATAATTTAGTCCAGAACATGGACAATTTTCAAACCCCCAGAACTTAACAAAAAATAATTGAAGGTAAAATAACTTTTTAAATTTGAACTCTAGAAGTCAATATCTTCAATGGGGTATTAAAAATAATTGAAGGTAAAATAACTTTTTAAATTTGAACTCTAGAAGTCAATATCTTCAATGGGGTATTAAATTAAACTAGTATTTCGATCGGCGAAAATTGACTGAATAAAAAAAACCACACCGAGCATAAATCGGAACAATTAGAGAACAAAAGATGAGACACATTTTACTGCAAAGAGATTAAACCACTCATTAAATGAAAAAAAAAAATTTTTGGGTCAGAGAACAAAAGATAAAACACATTTTACTGCAAAGAGATTAAACCACTCATTAAATAAAAAATAAAAAAAAAACTTTGGGTCAGTCACAGTAGAAAAAAAAGAGACAGATACAGAGAATATATATCTTAAGGTCCGCAACATAGTTGCCGCTTCATTGCCAGATACTCCTCAGTAGATCGTATGTGATAATTTTCCTAGGTACCCCAGACACTCTCAAATCTAATTTCACATGGAGTTAGATTATGCGTCTTTGTTCCTGACGATATCTACTAAAAATTTGAAAATCTTTCAATTTTTGATTTTCTAAATGTTGAAATGCTTTCTGCTAAGACCATTAGTAGAAATCATTTTAGACACTAAACCATTGTTAGTTTTGGCTTAATAAGCGCTTAAATCTTAGGTTGACGTTAAGTTTGTTAAAAGTCACGTATTACAATTGAACTAAGAAAGCTTAAAAAAATATATACACGTCCTTTAATTAAAATTTCTTTAAAAAAGAAGAGACTAGTTATACACGCCAATTAAATAACTCTTATTCGGTTAGAAATTTGATTCAGCTCATCAAACCTACAACCAATTCCTTCATTGTTCTCATCTTTTTTAAACCCTTCATAACTTTCGAATCTTATGCTGAGTTGTTTTTAATCTCAACTTATGTAGTATTGGGAGGAAAATGTCTCACAAGGGATACAAATCTATACTATAACACCAGGAAATACCTAAAAAGACCTAAAACAGAGAAGAAATTAACACAGCTCAACTAAAAAGGAATATATTTTGAGCGAACTTTTCCAAACTAGTTTTTGGGCATTGTTTCCACCATTTTTTGCTGACAAGCTGAGGAGCCATAATTGACCAAAAAAAACTAAGTTACAACAACCATGTATCAAACAACAGGTTTTGTTTTGGCTTCAGTTTCAAATAGTTAGGATTCAAATTAAATTTTTGAGCAAAATTATTGAAATTTTGATTTTGATTACAAGGGATGACAAAGGCTTAGGTAATTGAGGCTGATATCTCAGTCCCGTTACATCTTTTTTTAGTTGAAGTTTCAATCACAGGGGCAATTGTTTCAGAACCAAAAAAAAATCTTGCAAACGTTTTAATTTAAGCATTCTAATCGCATCTTCGGATGGAACTGCAAAAATGTAAAATGAGATGTCCATATTTGACTACCTTAAATCAAAAGATTGGCCCTATTTGGTAAGTTTCAACTTTAAGTATCAAAAACAATTGCTTTTAAATTCTAATTTCCTGATTTCGCGTTGTATGTTTCTGGCTCGAAATCTTAAATTTTGAGCATCATATTTAAGATTTTGGAAAAAAACGTGTTTTGCCGTTAGCAATTCGAAAGTTTTTTTGTTTTATTAGTTAAAACTGGCTTCAACCTTGAAATATAATTACTGCGAGGTCTTACCCTAGAACATTGAGTTACCTCCTTTCTTAATGAATAATACGTAAGATATTCAAACGATATCCTGAACATTTCGTAAGAAACAAGATCAACTAATTCCAAAGTTTTTGTAACTGTATTTGAAAAACTCAGGGTGAAAGATGAATTTAAAAATTTTATAGTAAGCAAAGCCGACTAACAGAAAGGCCCCGTAATTTTTTTCTGAGCACTCTAACGATGATATGCACAAATTGTAGTTACTTTTCCGCCGAAGCTCCTCCAGAAGGAGACAAATTTTTTCAGAAGTTAATTGACCCTCGTAACATGATCTATATTTTTAAAGAAAAACTACACTTAAGAACCCAAAAAAATGTCCAGAAAATTTTTTAAAGGTATTTGAAACAAAACAGTCATCAGGAAAACATAAAGTGTCATTAAACTTCACTCAAAGAAGCATATAATGTATAAAAACAATGTCTCCACAGTTAGCCAAGAAAAAATGAAATGGTAAACGTGGTGGCAGATTCAGACGCAGTCTTAAGAACATTTACAGGGCAAGACCCAAATGATGATGCTGGAGATTTTCAAAACAAAGTAGAAAATGGATTGCTTTCTTTGGTACCAAGTCAGGTCCATGTAATGACCAAGACGCCTACGAACCCCGACCAGAACAATACTCAATTACATATGAGGAACTCAAGTTTATCAAAAATGTGAGAACTAGCAGCAGATTCAGCTTGACCGAAGCTTGACTCAAAGGTCTATAACTCACTAATCATAAGAACAAATATTGAGGACTAGCAGACGCAGAAAATATCAAAATGACAACTTCATAAGTTAACCGAGCGTAAGAAGAAGCATTAGTACAGGTTTGAAAACAAAACAACAGAGATTGCCAAGCAAATTCAAACTTTTGTCCAAAGTTTGCAACCATCAGATTTGAAACCATTTACAAACCAATTTTTAGCAAAAAAAACTCGCTTGGCCCCAATTGAAAAATCATATGTTAAAAAAGTTTGCGGTTTAGATTATACAGAAAGAAACTCAGCAACCTCAATAATCAGTTAACATACAGGAAAAAAGATATCAACACAAGGAAATAACTGTTTTAATGAAAAAGGACAAACTAAAGGCAGCATATATTGCAAATGAGCCGGGCGAAAACCAAAACCATACCTGATTTTACAAATGGTCTCACATATCAGGTCACCTAAGAAGTGATGATTTCAAGAAAGTTTCCCAGACAACTAAAATAAAGAGATAATGAAAAAGTTTTGAATCTCAGAAAACTTGAGGTTAATCTCAAAAAAATTATACTCAATCTCAAGATGAAAAAAAGGAATTTTAAAAAAACTAATTTAAGGACCGAAATAGTTACAAATGTATAAAAAATTATATCCACACTAATCCTGAACAAACAACGAAACACATATTGTAAAATTGAAACAGAACACATTTTCATAAGAAAGATTTATATACCAAAACTAAAAAGGGCCCGCTAAAAAACCGAAAATTTTTAAGCAACCAAAAGAAGCCTCAAAATTCAATTTTTAGAAATAATAGTTGTAGTAGGAGTCCCAGAGTGACATAGAAGTCCCAGAATTACAAAATATTAGTATCTCTTGTGAGAAAAGAAATAAAGGTCATGAAACCCTCCAAAGCTAGACACTGGAGCAATGTGTTCTCTTCTAGGTTTTGACACTTCTTTTGATAATGTGAATAACCAGCTTTGTAAAAAATCAGCTATCAAAATACCAGCTGTAAATTACCAGCTATCACTTTAAATTAGCAGCTATCAACTCAAAAACTGTAGCTGTCAATGGAGAAAAGTTAATGATTTTATACCATTTAGTTGCTAATTTTATACTTGAACGGAATGTTTAGTTGAAAACAAAGAATTGTTTAGGCAAAAAATAAAAATTCAATTTAAATATTTGCTTTCGATTTTCTTTCAAATCAAAGAAATTCACAGATTTTTTGAATAAAACTTTATCCAAGAGTATCAATATCTATGACCAATCTAGGAAAAGTAAATCATTCATATTTTTTATTATAAATATTTTCTTTCAGATCAAAACAGACCGATAGCCCCTGAAACCCATTTAAATTGACCCAGCAATCGTAGTATTCAAACCAGAAAAATCCTTTGAAATTGAAAAGTAATTTTTAAAAGGAGTAAACTTTAAAAGACGTTCTATTCCCAAGAAGAAAACACCCCCCTCCCACCCGATTGCTAAAAGTTTCTTACAAATAAATTGGTACTTTTCTCGAAAGGTCAAAAGGACAAAGACTAGAAGGTGTTGAAATAATTTTAAATTCGAAACACTGCGTAATTGATTAAATTGCCTTTACATATATCAAGCACGGAAAGAGTGAATACATCAGATCATTTTCTTTTTATTAATTCAAGGAATTAAAGTTCAAATTTTATTTAAAAGACGTCGAAAATCAAATATAATCTTTAAAAAAGGTGATGTTAAAAGAAGACTTAGACTGTACTAACAAAATAGAAAAATATTTTGTTAGACAAAACAAAAAAGCAAAAAAGACTAAAATGGATCTAGATTCAAATGTACACCTTAGCGAGAAACAATTTAACGAAATACAGAAAAAGGGTTTCAAGAAAAAGTATAAAAATCCCAATGAAATTGACTTTAATCCTTCAGACTTGATTCACAGAACCTGCAAATATAAACTAACTAATTTTTAAAACATAATATGTACGATATAGCGTTATTTGAATAAAACGTGCATGTTACGTCAATTTCGAAATCAGTAAAAACAGAATAAATATCATCCCGAGTAACATCGCACTACGAAGAAAAATTGACAATCTTAGTCGGTCAATTAATTTAATCAGGTATAAACAAAGAAATGGTATTCAATATTGAAATGGGTCAGCTTTTATCAACCATATCATAATTTTGCCTCAAAGAAACATTGTTTAACTGATTATTTATGCTAAGTTCTTTTTTCGAAAAATACTTGAAGCTAAAAAAATGAAAAATTATTACTGCGAGGTCTTACCCTAGACCATTGAGTTATCTCCTTCTAAAATGAACAATACGTAAAATATTCAACTTACTTGCTTTTGACGATACGCAATAGAATCGAAACATTGCATTTTCAGGAGAATTTTTTAATAATTTACATAGTTGTTTAGGAAAGTTTTCCGGTAAAAAAGTCCATTCATTCACCACTAGTAAAAAAAAGAAACCAGCAGTAACTTACGTAAAATGTTCTTTAAGGAATGCTGGACAAAAGACGAAAAACTTGACTTAAGTAATATCTACCTTGATCGACAGAAATCTCGAAGATCCATCCCGGTTCAAAGATCTTTAAAAAAAACTGTTTTCGGTTTCAGTTTCCAAGACTTCCAATATTCAAAGAGAATTTCAGCTTTTGAAAAAAGCTGGAAACCTTAAATCATATAAAAAGCTTGAGAAACGTTATATTTCATCTCATTTCTAAGTTGCTTAAGTTGCTGATGCACGCATAGTAGAAATTTTTTCTCGGATTTTTCCTAGGCTTTTTTACGACTGTTGCTTCTCTACTACATATTTAGAAAAAACCACTATCTATTGATTGACATCAGACACGTTTTTTTACAGAAAAAATAAAAACTGAAACAATTCAGATTCTATAAAAGAAATACCAGAAACTATGTATACGTTTTCATTAACCTATGAACTCAGCATGTGTACACTTTCATACAGTTTTTCTTTACTGACATGAGCGGCTGTTTTTTACAAGGTTCTTTGAAATACCAATTGAAATTTTAATGAAACGATTTGAAAAACTAAAACAAGACTGCTCGTATCGGGGCGAAGCCCTGAATGTTCCGACTGCCTTTAAATGTTTAAGGAGCAGTAATAACCAAAAAAAAATGTAATAAAATAAAATGAAATTTTTTTTTCTAAAACTTGAATTTTTTTTGAAAATCATCTTTTACCCACAGGCCATAAAAAGTACAAAAAGATAGATGTCGCTCCTTGTAACAAATCAATTATGGCAAATAAGCTTCTTCCAACCAATTTGGAACGATTTTTAAGACGGATTAAATCTCCGCTTACGCGTTAATAGCGCAAAATATATCGCGCGCTAATTGTCCCAAATTGTCCAAATTGGCAACCTTTAAACCCCCATAACTTTACAAAAAATGATCACAGGTGAAATATGAATTCAAATTTAAGCTGAGGACAACAATACCTTTTGAATGATATTAAAAAATTCCGTCAAAAATGGCTAGTTAAAAAGTCGAAATTTGTCTGAAGAAAAAAAAACCCACCCCGAGCACAAAATATTCCGTTACTTTCGTATCGAAAGTCGGAACAATCAGTAAGCCAGGTAAGTCGGAACAAAAACTAGAGAAATAAATTATCTTATGTTTACCCTTGCGCCTAATTCTGGCTAACACTTTTTTGTTGCAGAGTTTTCAGAATGATGCAAACTATTTGTGATGGTTAAGGATGATCACAAATGTTTAAGCAGATACGGCACTCAGTTTTCATTCTGAATAACTTATTCAATCTGAATTAGAATACAGTGAATGGTATTTATTTAAATTTTTTTTAAATTCTAAGTCCACCCGAATTTCGCCAACAGTTAAAATCAATGTCTATTTTTTGCTCCTTAAAATCTGGTAACAACTATATGCTATCTGGGGGTGCGTCGTGACTTTGCAAAGTCGGGACATAGGTCGCGGAACTACCCCGGATCTCATTACCTGTTAACGAATGAATATTTTGCGTAGATCTTCTTAACTAGACCCCGTGCAAATATTGTATAATCTGAACTGTTCAATTCTTTCTTCGTGAGGGTTGGGGGTAGTTACTAAGACTTTGCGCCGCAAATCCTTGCGATGTACCGATGTTGCTTCGGACTCGAATCTCATTCTACGCACTATGCACGACTATTAGTAGCAAGATAAACAGCAGTTTCCTGTGAAATACGACAATCTGGAACTTTGACATTCTGGATAATGTCAAAAACAATTGGAATTCGGATCTGGATCTTCGGTTCGAACTCAAATGATTTGGCAAAGTGCACGCTTTTCAAGCGATCAGCTATTACGGTAATGCCAAGCAATTCTTTTCACATAACTAGCGAGTGAACTGCATTCTTTTGGCAATGCTAATCAACAATTATGCTATTAGGACGGTACTCTTTCCCCCCTATAAAGAAAATAAATCAGCAGTTAAGCATATCAGAATTTTATACCAGTAACGAATATCCCCCCCCCCTTTTTTTCAAAAGTGGGCATAGTAAAAGAGCCCCTCAACCATAACCTAGGGCTTCAATTTTCTTTTGTTATCTTTTACATTGAGTGTAAATAATACATTAAAGGCTTTTCATTTTTGACTGCATTTTTTTCGTTGGAATGCTTTTTTTCTGGTTGCTTTTGCAGATGGTTCCTTTTTTGTCAATCCTTATTAATATTTTATCAAGGAAGCTATATTTCCGTTCAGTTCAGTGAGATGCATTTGCATCCAGGAATTATTTATTTTGTATTTCTGAGAAATGAATTAGAATTTCTGAGACGGGGCCAGGTAAAAATAAGACGACAAGATACTAAGACGACATGACATGATGACGACAAAATAGAGTTAACACATAGAAATTGAACTGTTTGAATTTAAGTGAATACAATTTCTTAGTAATAACATCTGAGCAGAATTTGTGTGGTAGCGTCCTCTTGAAGCTGGTCATCGAAAGCATTTGTCGTCGTAACAGCTATGTCGTCTTATTAATCAGACACCGTTTTCTGCACTTCTGAGAAATGAATTAACATTCCTGAGAAAAATCTGAAACTGCTTAACTGGCATTCCTCAAAAACTGCATTCCAACCAAACAGAAAACATGTGCAGTGAATCGACTTAGAAGTATATCGAAAAGTGCGGAAAACACAATGAGCAAACAATGCAAGTTAAAACTTCAATTTCTTTTCGAAAAATTTTCACACTGTTATTGACTATTGTACGACCATTTTTCTAGAAAAAAGACGATAAACAGAAACAATTGCAGAAATTATATGACTTGAGTTTTACACTCGAAATTTCTCAAATAAATCCGCCAAAAAACTTTGTAACTCAAAAATTTAGTGATAGTTTAACTTGATGCGTCTTATACAAAACAAAAGCTGCAAAAAAAAATTACCATAAAAATATATTTGAACGATGAAAAATTATATCATCAATAAAGGAATTGAGCATCAAGAACATTGATTATTTAACATTTGCTTTCTATTCGGCCGGTTGAAACGTCGATGCGACGCATTATTACATGTCATCATTTCAAATAAGAGAAAAATAACTGCATCTGTAACTGAAACTATCTCAAGTATAAAAGCGAGCTTTTTCAAAACTAAATATCATTCATTTAACAGCAGCATCGAAAGAAAGTAAGTTAGTCATACCATTTTTTCATCCTAAAACTGTTTGAAAGCAGTGCGTTGCCCCCTTAATTTTCCTAAACCCGAACCCCGCCGGCCCACATACACACTAAAATTCGGTGGCCCGTCAAAAAGCAGAATGGTCTAAGAGCAGAAGGATCAAAGAGAAGAAAAAATGAAGAAAATCAATTTTTTCAAGCTAATCGATAAATTAATTATCAGAAATGACAATAATACCAGAACAACGAACATTTTATGCATAATTTAAATAATTTAATTAAGATTTAAAAAAAAATTCAATCAAAAAACTTCATGAAGTTATTCAATTCATGCATAATTTATTCATTTTCTTGGTATTTATTGACGATTCTGATATTTGTTTTATCAATAAGCCCGTATAAACCAACTTAAGTCAAATAAACCAAGTTAGCCCGTATAGGTGCGTATCCATAGGTTCCAAAATGAAAAATCAGTCCCATAGGTTCCAAAATAAAAAAGCAGTCGCATAAGTTCCAAATCTTTTCAATTGGTCAAAAGACTAAATTAGCCGAGTCTCGGTTTAAGGTCGCCGCTTCGCGGCGATAACCGGCTCTAAATTTCGTATAGAGTCCTACCCTTTGGTGGCAAGCTCGCAACACGTTGGCGCGGCTGCGGCGGTCACTATTCTGCAGCTTGAGTTTATGCTGGTTGAACAGTAAACAATCAATCCACAAATTCGTTGGCTCAAATTTCAACCAATCAGAATTCAAGAAGATCAATTTTGGAACTTATGCGACTGATTTTTTATTTTGGAACCTATGGGAATTCACCGCCCGTACAAACCAACTTAAAATTTTTCTGTTTTTCTGCTCTTGGACCCATTTGCTCTTAGACCATTCTGCTTATTGCTCCGCCTCCCTTTTTGACGATTCTAATTGTTTTATCAATAAGCCGGTATATATACCAATATAAGTCAAAATATTTTTCTGTTTTTCTGCTCTTGGACTCATTCTGCATTTGGACCATTCTGCCTATTGCTCGGCCTCCAAAACTCTCATACTTAACATTGTACCTAAACCGCATAATTCATTGCTGTTTTAGAATTCTAAAGTCAAGACTTGATCAACATGCCAGGAGAAACTCCAATGACCACAGATGCGGCCGCAAGAATCCAGAGCTCCGAGGCCAAAAGCAGCGGAACAGGCCAAACGCAGTCGGGAGGATTCGCCTCCAGGTTGGTTGATCTCATATTTGATGGTTACAATTACGTTTCGAAAAAAATCACCTTACAAAAATGATGACCATTTTTAATTAAATTCTTTTTTGGTAATCTTGTCATATTCTATTTAGGGCGCAAGGAGCTGCTGCGGACAATGTGAATCAAGGGAAAACTCAGCACCAAGGGGGCAAAAAATGATCGAGGAACAAAGTGAGAAGTTGAATGGATCAAATTGACTCTAGTCTAGAAATTTGCTAACATGAATGAAAAAAATCAAAGAAATGAGCGATTTACATCTGAAAGACTCGTAGTAACTTTTGTTTACTTGGTACAATTTATGTTAAGTTTGTAAATTCTGCAATACATACCATGCATGCAAATTTAATTTCTATCCACATTAATTCATGGTTGATTGAATTTTATGTATAGTTCTTCTGTTAAAACAGGTTGAGAATGACTGAAATTTTTTATCGAGGGCGAGTCACGATTTCTTGAAAATAGAATTACATTGGTCTCACGAACTAAATTTCAGTGCTGATTTGGTTGTTTTTCTTGCAGAGAATGAATAAAGATAGGAAATTCACCGTCAATTGAAAAGAAAAAAGAGCAAAAGAATTGAGTCGCCTGAATTCATGATTCTAAATCAAGCAAATATCCATGAAGATGAATATTTAATCGGGTTTGTAGAAAAAAGGAAGATCAAAAATTACACGTTCTCTCCAAGGCTTCGTTAAATTCTTGCCATTTTCGTTTTCATTGAAATTTCGACAAGTAAATTACTTCGATTGTAAAAAAGATCTAAGAAAAAATCACTTAGAATTAAAAACCTAAGTAACGTAATGCTTCGACAAAAACCAGTTTACCCGGTTCCTGTGCACATGATAGCATGCAAATAAATACTATCACAGTATATCATGGGAAAAACTAGAAAAACTATTTTTTCTTTCTTACGGTTCTGATGCAAAAATGCAAAATTGGGGGCAATTGCAGAGGTGGGGGGGGGGGGGGGGGGGTGCGCAATTGTTAATTAGATCCGAACCGTCAATTTTAAGTAGATGACCAACGGAAGGAGAAAGACAAACAAATCGTTTAAAAAATTACTAAATGAGCTTGATTTTCATAGAGACCGCGCTTCATAGGTAGAAAGTTGTCAAAGCACCGTAAAACAAATTCGAGCTAGAAAAAAAGCTACTTCAATATTACTACAGTTCAAACTTGCACTACAGTTCAAACTTAAAATTTTAAAAGAAACGACACACCTAAAGAAACCAGAATTTGAGAATCACGCATTTGAGAATTACTATCACAGTATATGATTGGAAAAACTAGAAAAACTATTTTTTCTTTCCTACATTTCTTATGCAAAATTGGGGGCAATTGAACAAGGGGGGTGCAATTGTTAAGTAGATCCGGGTAAAAATTAAACAAAAAGAGGAGACTAGAAATTTCGTGCATATTGTCAGATTACAAATCATAAAAATGAAAAAGAAAAAATGGACAGCGAAAAGGAACCCAGCCTCAACATCTGGTTCAAAAATGTTGACAAATTATTAAGAAATGATAAAGTGTTGAAGTGATGGCGAGTTAGTGAAACGAAAGCCCCAAAAACTGCAAAACGGACTGGATACTAACTGCCCAGATGCCATCCTATAACATGGAGCCCTGAACATGGATCAAAGTCAAACGCACAGAGAAATGACACTATATTTAAGAGACAAAACAGACTATATTAGATGCCGACTTGAAATTCAACGATATAATTTACATGTGTATCAAACTGCAAAACTAATTTAAATTTTGAAGCGTCAGCCTATCGGAGCCCCAATTCAGCAAAAGAAATAGAAAATATTCTCAAGAAATTCGAGAACGAAGCATCGAAACCAAACTTTGCTCTTGCAGTAGATCTGAAATATTCGGAAGTTGATTGGGAGTTACTCAGATAGAACATAGCTGAAGGAAGCTAACAGGACATTTTTTAAGAAAACATATCAGACTGATGCAGTGCGGTCAAAAAGTAGACAACTTTTATTGTTCCGACTTTCGATACGAAAGTAACGGAATATTTGTGCTCGGGGTGGGTTTTTTTTTTCTTCAGACAAATTTCGACTTTTTAACTAGCCATTTTTGACGGAATTTTTTATATCATTCGAAAGCTATTGTTGTCCTGAGCTTAAATTTGAAATCATATTTCACCTGTGATCATTTTTCGTGAAGTTATGAGGGTTTAAAGATTGCCATTTTGGCCATTTTGACCAATTTGGGACAAAAACTAGAGAAATAAATTATCTTATGTTTACCCTTGCGCCTAATTCTGGCTAACACTTTTTTGTTGCAGAGTTTTCAGAATGATGCAAACTATTTGTGATGGTTAAGGATGATCACAAATGTTTAAGCAGATACGGCACTCAGTTTTCATTCTGAATAACTTATTCAATCTGAATTAGAATACAGTGAATGGTATTTATTAGACTATTTGCATGTCATAGGATAAGTTGCCAGTGTTTCTTTGTTGGTTTAATGATTTTGTTATGCTATTCCTTGTTATATAAAGTTTCGAAATGTATTTCAAAAACCTGAATTTTTTTTAAATTCTAAGTCCACCCGAATTTCGCCAACAGTTAAAATCAATGTCTACTTTTTGCTCCTTAAAATCTGGTAACAACTATATGCTATCTGGGGGTGCGTCGTGACTTTGCAAAGTCGGGACATAGGTCGCGGAACTACCCCGGATCTCATTACCTGTTAACGAATGAATATTTTGCGTAGATCTTCTTAACTAGACCCCGTGCAAATATTGTATAATCTGAACTGTTCAATTCTTTCTTCGTGAGGGTTGGGGGTAGTTACTAAGACTTTGCGCCGCAAATCCTTGCGATGTACCGATGTTGCTTCGGACTCGAATCTCATTCTACGCACTATGCACGACTATTAGTAGCAAGATAAACAGCAGTTTCCTGTGAAATACGACAATCTGGAACTTTGACATTCTGGATAATGTCAAAAACAATTGGAATTCGGATCTGGATCTTCGGTTCGAACTCAAATGATTTGGCAAAGTGCACGCTTTTCAAGCGATCAGCTATTACGGTAATGCCAAGCAATTCTTTTCACATAACTAGCGAGTGAACTGCATTCTTTTGGCAATGCTAATCAACAATTATGCTATTAGGACGGTACTCTTTCCCCCCTATAAAGAAAATAAATCAGCAGTTAAGCATATCAGAATTTTATACCAGTAACGAAAATCCCCCCCCCCCTTTTTTTTTCAAAAGTGGGCATAGTAAAAGAGCCCCTCAACCATAACCTAGGGCTTCAATTTTCTTTTGTTATCTTTTACATTGAGTGTAAATAATACATTAAAGGCTTTTCATTTTTGACTGCATTTTTTTCGTTGGAATGCTTTTTTTCTGGTTGCTTTTGCAGGGTTACATGTCAGTATTTAGACAGCCGCGTATTCATACTGGTCAGTATTTAGACAAATACTGTTTCAACCAATCAGAATCGAGACAAAGAAGAAATTAATAAATAATTATTATTTATTTTGGATTATTTATGTTTTTTCTCGATACTGATTGGTTGAAACAGTATTTGTCTAAATACTGACCAGTATGAATACGCGGCTGTCTAAATACTGGCCGCACTCCCTTTTGCAGATGGTTCCTTTTTTGTGAATCCTTATTAATATTTTATCAAGGAAGCTATATTTCCGTTCAGTTCAGTGAGATGCATTTGCATCCAGGAATTATTTATTTTGTATTTCTGAGAAATGAATTAGAATTTCTGAGACGGGGCCAGGTAAAAATAAGACGACAAGATACTAAGACGACATGACATGATGACGACAAAATAGAGTTAACACATAGAAATTGAACTGTTTGAATTTAAGTGAATACAATTTCTTAGTAATAACATCTGAGCAGAATTTGTGTGGTAGCGTCCTCTTGAAGCTGGTCATCGAAAGCATTTGTCGTCGTAACAGCTATGTCGTCTTATTAATCAGACACCGTTTTCTGCACTTCTGAGAAATGAATTAACATTCCTGAGAAAAATCTGAAACTGCTTAACTGGCATTCCTCAAAAACTGCATTCCAACCAAACAGAAAACATGTGCAGTGAATCGACTTAGAAGTATATCGAAAAGTGCGGAAAACACAATGAGCAAACAATGCAAGTTAAAACTTCAATTTCTTTTCGAAAAATTTTCACACTGTTATTGACTATTGTACGACCATTTTTCTAGAAAAAAGACGATAAACAGAAACAATTGCAGAAATTATATGACTTGAGTTTTACACTCGAAATTTCTCAAATAAATCCGCCAAAAAACTTTGTAACTCAAAAATTTAGTGATAGTTTAACTTGATGCGTCTTATACAAAACAAAAGCTGCAAAAAAAAAATTACCATAAAAATATATTTGAACGATGAAAAATTATATCATCAATAAAGGAATTGAGCATCAAGAACATTGATTATTTAACATTTGCTTTCTATTCGGCCGGTTGAAACGTCGATGCGACGCATTATTACATATCATCATTTCAAATCAGAGAAAAATAACTGCATCTGTAACTGAAACTATCTCAAGTATAAAAGCGAGCTTTTTCAAAACTAAATATCATTCATTTAACAGCAGCATCGAAAGAAAGTAAGTTAGTCATACCATTTTTTCATCCTAAAACTGTTTGAAAGCAGTGCGTTGCCCCCTTAATTTTCCTAAACCCGAACCCCGCCGGCCCACATACACACTAAAATTCGGTGGCCCGTCAAAAAGCAGAATGGTCTAAGAGCAGAAGGATCAAAGAGAAGAAAAAATGAAAAAAATCAATTTTTTCAAGCTAATCGATAAATTAATTATCAGAAATGACAATAATACCAGAACAACGAACATTTTATGCATAATTTAAATAATTTAATTAAGATTTAAAAAAAAATTCAATCAAAAAACTTCATGAAGTTATTCAATTCATGCATAATTTATTCATTTTCTTGGTATTTATTGACGATTCTGATATTTGTTTTATCAATAAGCCCGTATAAACCAACTTAAGTCAAATAAACCAAGTTAGCCCGTATAGGTGCGTATCCATAGGTTCCAAAATGAAAAATCAGTCCCATAGGTTCCAAAATAAAAAAGCAGTCGCATAAGTTCCAAATCTTTTCAATTGGTCAAAAGACTAAATTAGCCGAGTCTCGGTTTAAGGTCGCCGCTTCGCGGCGATAACCGGCTCTAAATTTCGTATAGAGTCCTACCCTTTGGTAGCAAGCTCGCAACACGTTGGCGCGGCTGCGGCGGTCACTATTCTGCAGCTTGAGTTTATGCTGGTTGAACAGTAAACAATCAATCCACAAATTCGTTGGCTCAAATTTCAACCAATCAGAATTCAAGAAGATCAATTTTGGAACTTATGCGACTGATTTTT